CAGCCACCACAAATTTCGCCATACACCCCTCCAGCACCAGCACCCCCTGCCCCAAGTGCAGCCCCCAGCCCCAACTGCAGCCCACCCAGCCCCATGCAGATCTGGGGGCATCCCCCACCCCCATACCCTCCCGGACGAGCAGTAGGAGCTGCCAGGCAAGCAGTGCGCAGCAGTGGGAGTCACCCCCGTGCCCCCCTGGATGAGCCACAGCTCTGTCCCACGCCCGCTCCACCTCAGCTGGGCAGCATCTAACCAAGTCCCAGCCCCATTCCCTCCCTCACCACCTGGGCATTGATCTGCCTCCCCACACCCCTTCCCTCCCCCTTCACCACAACAGACTGACCAGCTGCATGCTGCCAGGCTCCGCTCCTTGCATCCTGCGCTGCAGCTGCACATACATTTATTGGACAAGTTATTGACCACATCAGGCCAATACCTCATATAGTCAATTTTCTTTATATCGGTGCTGATCTTAAAAGGATCTTGTGGTACCCTGGTTGAGAATCACTGGATGACACACATGAATAGTAACACAATGGTGTCACTTCAAATACTTGTCGCCTGCTATGAAAGTGTTGCTTACTTTCTGAGATCTATTAGTACACTCTTAGCTGCTCACAAAACGTACACATTGCTTATTGCATGTACAGAAATTAAGAATTTATATCAGAAAACAAAAAGGATCATTTTAGAAGTGTAAAATGCCTGTATCTGTGGCCTTGTCTATACCTCCAAAGTTTTGCCAATAGAAGTCCAGTTCTGGCAGCCAAACTATGAAAGCTTCCACAACCAGAGCTCTTCAACAGCAGCTGAACCCTCCTCCCTGCCAGCAGAGCTACTCCATCTCCACTAAGTGGAATAGGGTTTCAGCTGCAGCCTGGCAGCTAGCAGAAGGTACATGTAGAAATTCCCACACCTTCTGATGGCTGCTGTGGTCCCTTCAGAAGCTGCTACCTTCCTAAGATACATTTCATGAACTAGCAGCACAGCTGTGGACTGAAGCCACCAGAAGTGCCTGGGTGGTCATGGAAGTTCTAGCACCAGAGCAAGGTCAGTATAGACTGTGCCTGTCTCTTATTATATTACAAGCTTTTTTAGGGCAGAGGCAGTCCTCCTGTTTTTGTGCTTGAACAGTTCCTTGTTGTTCCTAGGCAGTAAAATTTAACTTTAACATCACATATAGTTTAACTGCTGAACAAAAATCTGAGATGCTAGATGGAACTGTGAGTTAGTGCACTAGCTTTTTAACTCTGTATGTACTCATTTAAAACTTTGCTTACAGTTGATCAAATAAAAGATATCACCAAAAAATCCTTGCCTCATTTATATTTCAAGAAAAAGAAAAATCACACCAGAAAGAACAAAGCATACAATAACAGGGAGTTTTTGCATTTCAAAATTGAAATATATGGTGTTTGGATGTGAAGGTGATAGATGAAGATAATATGAGTACATAGGAACCGGTTATGTGGTCGCTGAGGTTCAACAAGGGATTAGAGCTGCCACAGGGACAGGATTGAGACAAACTGGCATATCGATATGAGGGAAACTTCCACAAGTCCTCACACTGTTTTGCTACTTGCCAGGGAGTTAGCTGTGTCAGTCTGAAGTCAAGTAGAAGGAAGGGTAGATTTGCACCTCTGATGTGCTGAGCTTCTGTACACAAAAGCTTATATTACATATATGTCCAAATCTACTATGCCCTCTGTTTGCCCAGGAAGCCAATCTGTGCTTTTACAGACAATTAATTCAACCATATGAGAAACTTGAAGAAAAAAAAACCTCACACAACAAAAAAAAAAAGCAAACAGGAAGAACATTCAGTTGTTTTATGCGCTTAGACAAATCAAAGGTTTTCTGACACCATGAGCAAACAAGTTACCCATATAGCATGCACCATGCCAATCTTTTTTCAAACACAATGAAAGTATTCAAGCAAAATCGTGAAGCCTTATGGGACTGCTTAGCGCATAATTATAATCTTGTGTTTAATACCCATCTCAGTTGAACTTAAAGAAAACGTTGCAGATTTATGTTTTTATAGTCACAAGGAGATTCTGTCTTAGATTTGATTAAAGCAAAACACTAGAATTAAAGAACAGTCTCAGGATTACAGGATATTTTATGCTACTGAGTACACCAGAAGATTCATAAAAAAGGGGAAAATGTGATATTTTAGAAAAAGAATTGTGAGCTATCAAGAATTGGATCTCTCAGGAGTAAATAGGGGGATCTCTTCTGGGGGTGAGGCAGGGCAGTGGACAGGGAGAGGTTTCTTGTCTCGATGTGAATGCTGGTTGGGAGGTATGGTTTGGATTGGCAGGAGGATTTATTTGCTTGTGCTGGGGTTTGGGAATGGAAGTGGTGATTGGTGGGGAAGTTGGAGTTCTCAAGTTTTGGGGTGATGTTTGGTGAATCCTCTCTGTGAGTTGTTTATTGTAGGCTGCTCTGAGCCTTCTGGATGGAGCAGGGTATAAATCTAATAGATACATAAATGCTATTTCAACACAATCTCATTATTATACATAAAAAACAACACAGACTATTGTTGTTGATATTCTTTCATGAGCTAGGTCCCAGCAACACAAAGGAATAGACCTAGTAGAAAATTGGCATTTCTATTCATTGAGCAATTCTGATGTGCAGACATTTGTTTTCATCCTAAAACTGAGGTAGTAGAGAGTTGAAATAGCAACAATTTTCATGGAACAAAATACATCAAAGCTCTTTGATTTAAAATATTTGACCATCTTAAACCAAAGATGCTTCATTTGTTGGCAGGGGCAGCAGAGCAGTTCGTTCAACTGAATAAGAACAGTTTCATTTGGGGTTAGTTCAACATTAGTTTTCCTTTCCACAAGTTGCTGTAATGCCTGAGAGTTTAATTCAGTTTCTTTACATCCCTAATCTCCTCTGTGCTTGGACTTCCTGTTCAGACATCCTCTCCCACGATGCACTATTTTGATCAAAAAGAAAAATCTGGTGCATCCTGGGATACACTGTCCAGCTACAGAGCTCGCTCATAAAGAATAGGGCCATAGGTGTGCCTGAAGCTCCACCCCCCAATTCACACACAGATTAATGCTGAACACGCCAATAGTAAACATTTCACTTCCGTTCAACAAACCAAAATGTTTCCCCATGTGGGCTGATCCCAAACAAGACTATTTTATTTCCCACAGCAGCGGGGGGGGGGGGGACAAAAGACATTTTAGGAAAATCTGATGTGAGGTGTGCGAGGGAAGGGTGGGAGGAAGAGGAGTCCTCTGTAGAAGCTGCATTTTAAATCAAAATGTATTGATAGAAAATGTGTGATCTATAAACATTCCTGTTAAGATGAGCAATTCTAAATTGTTAGAGATCACATACCTCAGTGGAGTACCAAGTATGTGGCAGCATGGAAAATGTCATAAACCAATTTACCTGCACCGAAAGAGGTCCCACAGTCAAGAATCTGACCTGGTGGAGGGAAAGGGGACACTCATTAAATCCCAGCATTGTAATGCATTGTTGTTGAAGGTAATGACATTGGACGGGCCCTGAAAGGTGTAGGCTTGCAACCTTTAAGATCACTTCCTCATCCACAAGCCGCCATGACTTCATCAGAAATATTTGTTTTAAAAACCTTTGTGCATATGCTTGATGGTTGATAAGGCTCTTCTCCTCCATGTTGGCAGCTGGCTGACATTACATCTCTCTAAAGTTACTATTTGAGAGAGAAGTTCTTTGGACAAAGGCACTACAGGCTTTGCCCGAGAGAAAAGTCTAAAGGACAACAGCACTCACTTTGCAAGGCAAAGAAATAAGATGACCAAACTAAAACACAAAAGCAGGTACTCTACCCTATGACTATGATTTTGAACAGAGGGTCAGGCCAGATCTTTTATCTGATCGGGGGGCAAGGACTGAACTTTCCCCTCCTCACGTCTTTTGGGAAGAACTATTTATGTGGTAAACAAATTGTCCAATAGGTTATTACTGTCTTTTCTTTTCCATTAACTGGGGACTGCCAAGAAATTAGGAACAAGTAAGTGTTGCCTTTCCTTGATTTCTCCCTTTTTCTATCCGACTGATTGCATCTCCCTTCCTAGATCTTACCCCTTTGCTAAACCAGGCTTTCCTTTTTTAAAATGATTGCTCTCTTACAAATTCATCATTTTAATGGTGATAAAAAGGTCAAAAATTGCCAGAATATTCAAAATAACTATTCACCAGGCACTGATAGCAGGCGACAGAATAACTCAAAGGAATTATCAGTGGCTATGGTGCCTTTCATTTCCAAAATGGCAGTAATTCTAGTTAGCAACAATATTTCATCACAGTATGCCCTATCTGATGGCTGTTCAGCCTGTGTGAACTGGGTTGGGATCTAAAATCCAATTAACAGGTGGCCACATTAAAAAAAGTGGCAGTCTGCACAGAAGGGAATAAGGGTTGAATTCTGCTTTCCCTAGGTGTCAGCCAAGGGAAGAGTTGAGGTACACTGGTGCTATGGGGAAGATTCTCTGATCCTTGTCAATATTGTATCACCATACTGATAAGATCACTAACCAAAGGATCTCTCCCAGGCTGCCGTCCAGCACAGCTTTAAGTGTGTTCAATTTCTGGAAACCAGTCTAACAGGATGTATTTTTCTGACTGTACATTAGTAAGATGCAATGTTTGATATTGAGGGACTGCTATTTTGAACTCTAATGCTTGTAAAGGAATTTCCCCTTTTCAGTGAAAAAATACAACTAAAAGGTCGTGCGTAGTCATTGGCTTGATATTAGAGCAGCTATCAAATGCATGTGTAATGCTAAAGTTTTAGTGCTGGAAGCAAAGTCATTCCTAGAAAAGAAAGTCAGTATTAGTTAGAAACTGGTGGGTTGTGCTAAATACCAGAAAAGGAGAAATAATCAGGAAAAACAAAGGAAACTGATTCTTCCTGGATAATATTAATTGCTCAGTATCCAGATAAAAGAAACATGGAATAGGTTATATCTAGATCTGAACACGTGAGCAGCAATGACACTGAAGGTACAAAAGATTGTACAAAGGCAAACATCTTTACAGAGCTGAACAAGAACATAATTCACAGACTTCTCTTCTTGAGTCTTCCTTTCATACTGCCATTTTCTCCAGTCTTGCCTACTCTGTGACCAAGTTTCTACTATGCTGTAAATCCAGGCTCTCTTCCAGCAGCTTGGCGCTGTAACTTAAAAAAAGGCTAGTAATTTTCTGTGCTATTTATCTAAGCACATATGTATCTTTTTGACTCACCACACTCTTTCAGAACACAATTTGAACAGGGTGTGCATTGTATCTGCGGTAATTATTGATCAACATAACTAGGCAAAATCCCCAATCTAGAGGGACACTAAAGAAAGAACACCTATACACATGATCTGGGGAGGGTGTGTGTGTGTGTGTGGGGGGGGTACTTTAGAGTGGCTCTGAGAGCTGCTCTAATTAAAGTGCCCAGAGTGTCTCATGTATCAGCATCCCCACACTTCAAAATGGCAGCAGGGAAACTTTATCTAAAGCTCATTCGATGAGCTTTAAAGCACCCCTGCCACCATTTTTAAGCATGGGGATGCTAATACACAAGATGAAGAGGCTGGCTTCAGTAATTACCACGCTGCAACAGACTTGACTAAATTGAGTCTGCTCTGATGTACTGTAATTATAATGTGGCAGAGCAGCCTCCGTGCTTGTGTATAGACACCCAAAGAGATTACTGTCTGTATTCCAGGAGAGGGGTATATACACACCTGCAATTTTTCTTTGCGATAGTACCTGACAGCTAGTAAGAGGCACAAAAAGAACAAAACAGCAAGGTGAAGAAGTAAACCTCAGACAACATGGAAAAAGCTCACTGAGAATAAGACAAATGAAAACAGGTGAAGTAGCTATGGAGACAAGCTAGAGTTTAGGACAAATCAGAGAAAAATAACCACAAGTTGAGGTTTTTTTTGCAGTTGAAGGCAAATGGACTGGTTAAGGCAGTATCTTCTTGCACCCATACCATTACTTGAGTTTTGATCTAGTCAACTACACAAAGGCTCAATAAAGCAATTTGCATGCTATGGTGGTTCTAGTTTGTGACCAAGATAATTCACCATTTATAAAAACCATCTTCAAGCAATGAAGAACCTTAAAGAAAAAAAATAAAACCTAGTAAGGGAAGAATGATCTGGAATGAAGCCTTCGAGTCTTTGTACAATTGCTAGTGTTTGCAATGACACTTTTGAGGTCCTGGTGCAAAAATAAACAAACAAACAAATAAGGTCATAGCCTAGGATAGTAATAAGGAATAGAAAATCTGGAGTTGAGTTCTTGTCCAGCAAATTAATACTCCCCACCCCTTCCATATTGTCTCACTTTTTGTGTGTCTTCAATGTACAATGAAACTTCAGAACTAGAAGCAATGACACTTCCAAGAAGTATGTACCTATCAAGTTTGATTGATAGCTCTTAGATTGCTTTGTTGTTAGGAAGCACCAGGATAAAGATGAGTGCTTTCCTATAACATAAAATAAGATGAAAGCAGAGCAAAAAAAATCTTATGCCCTTTCATATGCATTTCTTGCAGTCCGGTGTGCTGTCTTTGGAGACTACCTGAAAATGGATGGTGTCCCTTTCCAATTGTTCTGTGGCAGCAAAGGTACTGATGTTGCACAATAACAGACTTTACAATAAGAAAGCATATTTTTTTGTGTAAATGAGATCAGAGCTGAACTACTCTGATGGAAAAGCACTAAACTTCCACTGGAGGCAAACAGTATGAAATATGGTTGACAAGATTGAGCCTTGGCTGGTATCTGCAAATATGCTCAACTTCTAAGCAAAAGGGTTCTCACTATTATGAGCGTAAGAAATTTCAAACTTACAATATTTTTAGGCATGCTTTTTATTTTAAGATATTCTTCTCACAGACTTGGCATTATGCCCCCTCTTCTGAAGTGAAATTAATACTCATGAAAGCTGTGGGACTGACCATACTGTGAAGACAGTTTTCTATTAAAACCACATAAGAGGCACATTGATGGAAAGACAAGCTCCTTTTACTAAAGTGTATAACTTCTTACCTCTAGAGACTTCTGAGGCCCAGTTCAGTTTCTCAGCCCATGCAGATAATGGCCCCATCTATGAAGACTTATACAGTAGAACTCATTCGTCACAGGGTTGTTCCTTACTCCTTTGTAAAGATGGAATTTTGTATACCAGCCAGCAGTATATACAACCACAACAAACAACTGTATGGAGCCACTGATGAGGTCTAGTTGAGTGGAATAAGCTTTGAAATAAAAGATGCAGTGGCCCATTCTCAATTCAACACCCCATTGTGAACTAAGTGGGTTGTGAGCTACCTGGATATGAATGATCCAGGTTCCTCTGTACCCATGTGCCAACTATGATCCTTATTATGACTGGTAATATCTAGACCAAGATTCCAGTTAACTTCACACAGAATGCAATGTCTTTCTGTCACCAGTATTCTGGGTTAAATTCAAACTAGAGCAGGGGCAGGCAAAATACAGCCTGTGGGCTGCATCTGGCCCACGACGCCATTCCATCCAGCCCGCAGGGTCCCTAAAAAATTTATAAAATAAATATTTATCTGCCCTTGGTTCCTGTCAAAAGTGGCAGGAACCAAGGGCAGTAGGACCCAGGGGAAGCCTGGTGGGCTCCCACAACAGCAAGGCCTGCCCAGCCCCGCCCTCCCCAACCAGGAGCCCCAGCTGGGGCTTCTGGCCCAGGGAAAAGTGGCCCGGGGAAAAGCTGAGCACGGGTGGGGGGTGGGGAAAACAGCCCCTCACCTGCCCCGTGGCTGGCACCGGCATGCCGCTCCCTGTGCCTACTCTGGACAGCCCTGCAGGCTGCGAGTGGCTGCAGCAGGGAGTGCCAGCCACAGAGCAGGGGAGGGGCCACTCCCCCCTGTCCCCCGTGCTCAGCTTTTCTCTGGGCTCCTTCCCACTGTAGAAAAAAGCGGCCCCTTGCCTGCCCCATGGCCAGCGCCCCGCACTGCAGCTGCTCGCAGCCCACACAGGGCTGTGCTGAGCAGGCACAGGCAGCCCCAGGCAGGCTCTGAGCGGCTGCAGTGCCAGGCATGGGATGGGTGTGGAGCCACTTTTCCCCCCACCCCGCGCTCAGCACCATCTTGTAACCTGGCCCCACTGCCAGCCTAGGCCCCGTGCCAGTTCCGGCCTTGCCCGTTGGGACTGTGCATGGCAACAGCAGCTGTGGCCCCCCCACTTGCCGCGCCGGTGTTTGCCACTGTCACCTCTGGGCTGCCCAGCGCACAAGCTTCAGGCGGACAGCAGCAGCCAACACTGCCTGGCGTGGCAAGCGGCAGAGGGTTACAGCTGCTGCTGCCAACAGGTGAACCCGGAGTTGGCTTGGAGCCCAGGTTGGCAGCGGGACCAGGTTACAAGCTGGTGCTGAGTGCGGGGAAAAGCGGCCCCTCCCACGGTAGCCACTTCCAGCCTGTGTGGGGCTGCTTGTGCCTGCTCCAGACAGCCCCGCGTGGGCCTTGAGTGCCTGCAGCAGGAGCCAGCTCCCCCCTCTCCCTGCTGGTGAAGCCCAGCCCAGC